CACCATAGAATTCCCTTTCAACCCTGGTAATGCCAATGCGAATGCTTGCTATAGTCTGCCCCATTATATGGTAATTCGTCTGTATTAGTGGCATTTCCATTTTTTCACCTGAACTTCTACCAGGTATACATGGTATCATGCAGGACTGAATATAACCAAACTGGTTTTTATATACCTCTGATCTATATTGATGTTGACTTGTGTACAATAAAAAAGGGAACTTCCAAGCCTCTGGTAAACTACACCAGGTAGCCATAGAAAGTACACGTGTATACGTTTCCAGTATCTAAATATTGCTGTTATCCAGTGTGACTAAAACAATGTTTTTATTCACTCCTGTTATTCATGCTTCCTGTTGTTGAATGTCAGCCAGCGCTCACCAATTATCACCATAAAGCCATAACGGTGTGCTGAATCTTGCACATGTAATGGGTTCCATGCACTTGATACATTTAGCGATTATTCATATTTCTTGCATTGTTCTCTACATTGTTCCCCCATCTGTATTTTAATTGAAAACTGGAACTGTTACTACTTTTCTAAAACATACGAAAACAATGAACGTCTATCGTGTTCCAGTCCTGGTCGTGTTTTGTCTATTTCGTATCTATTGTGATTCTTAATCGCTTATATTTTGTGACTTTATGAAGTGTTTTTATACGTAGAAATTTGTCAAAGTGCAAAACAGTTTATCAGGTCTCACGTTCTGGTACGTTTCCGTGTAATTTAGTGAATAATACTAAACCAAGCAGGCTCATTACATGCCCGCATAGACACACACGCGAATGTACGTGCAGAAACAAACACGCACGCACGTACAAACGCACGCGTACGCGAGCAAGTACTGTGTAACGTCTTGCAGTGTAGGGCCTACACGTCATGTCTCGTATATAATAGAGAGTCTTGCATTGAAAGTGGTGGTGGATTTGTTACAAAGTACTGTTACCACACTGACGTGGTTTTGTCGCAAACTGTTGCAGGATATGGATCCATAACTGGGTTAGCATTTAGCCCAGGATACAAGCTGCTGCTCGTCACGTGGATCATATTCGGCCTCGCCTTCCTGTCTCTAGTTATCAACCTGCTAGCTGATATAATGCGTAGCAGAGTCGTCGACAGAGTGCAAGATCACGTCGATAGGGGCAGAAAGGCGCAACGAGTAAGTCGATAGGACTGTAAACGTCAACCCAAATCGTAAAACCTGAGAAAACGTAAATATCCTATAATATTCTCGTGTTTTCCATTCCTAGGTTTTGTGAAACTTGTGTTAAATGAGGAAGGTTCATTCATTGTTTTTCACATTCTACTTGATTTCAATATTTGAATTAGATCTTTTCTCATGGCAAGAGTGCTTCCCTGTTATTAGGCAGTCAGCTTTTATCAGCTCCTTATTTAAATTAGCATCCCTGCTATCACAGGCACTTGGGCCGTTTCAATAATAAAATGATGGTTAATAAATACAACTTGTCAGTACTAGACCTACCAGTACCAGTACCAGTACCAGTAATAGTCTTAATGTTTGATTTGACCTAATAACTTCACTTCAATACCGTCCAATACACCGCTGAAACACATAGCGCGCACGCCATTGTGCATGCACAAATACACAGTAGGTTAGAGTGTGTATTTGTGTATTTGTGCATGCACCCTAACCTACTGTGTATTTGTGCATGCACAATGGCGTGCGCGCTATGTGTTGCAGCGGTGTATTGGACGGTATTGAAGTGAAGCTATTAGGTCAAATCAAACATTAAGACTATTACTGGTACTGGTAATGGTAGGTCTAGTACTGACAAGTTGTATTTATTAACCATCATTTTATTATTGAAACGGCCCAAGTGCCTGTGCCTGCTATGGCATGTTTTAGCCATTTTCTTATATAATATTAGCATGTGTAGACTGCTACCCAGAAGCCTGTCTTTTTAGCAACAAGTTCTACTATAAAAAAAATGTCTACCCATTTTTGGGATCTTTCTGAGTGGAATTATCCTCCCTTTCTTGCGATTGCATTTAAAACTATATGTGCGTTCTATGAAACACAGTGAATGAAAGCACTCATTGGTTTTGACTGTAAATGTCAGTTTTTCTTTTGCCTCCTTTTGCCACACTAGCATCTCCAAGAGAAAACGAAGAGAACTGAGGTGAAGCAGGAAGATTATAACCTCGTAGCCACAACATGCATTATTGAAGGTGTTTTGCAGATGAATGAAAAAGTTCCCCTACTAAGAAAGAAGTGTTTAGTGTTTGATGTACGCAAAAAAATTATTGTCCTGTTGCATGCATTTTTGTGTCAATTACTGTGAGGTTGCTTGCTGGTCTGGTGGCATTGTGAATAGGAAATCTAAGTTAACTAATGTCTCTACTGATATCACATTGTCGCTTTAGTTCAACAAGGGTTACTAGTTTTAATATGCAAGTGTTCGTCTGCATGATCGCCCATTTATGTGCAGTTTGCAGTAACAATTGTGCAACACCCATAACTGAAGATCGAGGTGGAGGATTTATAAAAAGGAATAAGTATTCATGTGCATGTGTGCGTGTCTATGTTTGTGCTATACCACACCAACCCACTCCATTGTTTCACTAAAGTATTTCACCCACTAGCATGTAAATGGACTGTATTTTTCAACACGAACCAGTTTTCTGGAAATTTGCCTGGAGCCAGTTGTCAGCTATGTTATGTCTATGGGTGGCAAGCCATGTTTGATATAGCAAATGCTTGCTAATAGATTGTTATCATTGTATATATGTATACATTCAAGAGCCCGTTAACACTCGACTGGTTAATGGTCTCTTGCCACATATGAGGATACATGACGACAGTGCAGTTTTTTCTTCTTCTTTTTTACGTTACTAAGCCTGCAGTAAATTCCTGCAGTGTGCATGTTTACCTTGTATTATTATTTTATGCATGGCTATGGGTTCTACACACATAAGAATTCATATAGATAGTTAGCACTGTCTGCATGCATGATTGTAATATTGTATGTATTATAATATAACAGTGTCACTCTGCTTGTCTTTAGTTATTTTTGTTCTTACATCCCACAAATTTGTTATGTAAACGTTACATGGTTAACTTGGAAACACGTTTTAATTACAGGATAATACCAATACTACTCAACGATCGGACTCTGCTGACAGTAAGGACGTGCAGTCACAAGGTGCATTGTCAGCACATCCAGAGACACAGGAAAGCAGCGGGGATGACTACCTGCCATGTTGTATACGTTACACCTCACAGGATGAAATTGCACCAATAAAAACAGGATGTTTACACCCAAATTATAAAACGGTTAAGGACGACAGTGTGATAGAGCATTTGTAACAACAAGTAATAGGTGCGGTGCTCAACATCGTCTGAAAAAGTACTCCTTTGAGAGTGCACAGTGCACCAACTGTTGGCCCCTAACTAAAAGGTGGCAAACCGAGATTGTGCTTATAGGGCGGCCTAACCAGGTAGTCAGTTATTTCTTAAGCATAATATTATTTTAGGCGAGTGCTTTATTTGCATTGCATTTTTATGCCAGGTGTAGTGGAGGAAAATGTTACAATAGTGACTTTAAATGACTATATGTAAAATTAATATAAATATATAAATAATATAAACGTATATCGTATATAAAAATATAAGCACATAGCTATAGTATTATTGCACTTGGAGTAACTGTACCACCAACCAACTAGGAGTATGTATTTCTATATGTTAGTCATTATATGGATGCCAGTGATGCACGATAAATAACAACCATGGTATGAAGTTTAAAGACATCAAACTAGTAATGCAAGGTATTATAATAAAATTTGTACATTGTTTAATTTTTGATATCAAATTTGTTCTATAATTTCTGTGAAATTTTTTATTTTTAAACACATTTACAAGTAACATAATTGGTAACATACGAGCTCATAAAAAGAGTGCTTATTTATATTTTTTACATAAAGAATGAAATATAGTTGTCTTGTCCAATTTAAATACAAGTGTTGCTTTACAAAGGTAATGTTTTTGGGCACTTTCTTTCTGAGTCCTCCTTATACCCTAATAACGGATTTGTATATTCGAAATTGAGCTGTATTGGTACTCTGTGCAGAGCAAGAACCACATTTGCTACCCCTTTTTCATTTAATATGGATTTTTATACAATGCTGGTCATTCATTCTGAAGGCCTGGTGCTGACACCTATTGCCATTCTACATATGTAAACTGCATTACGGAATGAAACCTTTGCAAAAACTCTGCGCCAAAAATCGTCATGCACAAATCATTCAGTGAAGAAGGGCAAGATGGAGATAATACCAATATTGTCATATGATGTTCTCTTATTGTGTGTGTATATATATATATATATATATATATATCCAATATTTACCATATCCAAACTAAATACACTCAATATTTACACTAGGCTGCAATAGTTTCAAGCTCATTCATGACCAGGATTACATTAATCAGAAATGACTTAAAATGATCACTTTCAATTAAAGCAGCCACAACTAAATGATAACTCAATAATCTCTGTATAAACTACGATTTAGAAAAATATTGCTAATCTGTGTTTTCTACTTATACTATTGCTTTTTGAAACCTTTTAGAATAGGATATATGTTGTCGAAGGCTTCATAGATCTCATTTCTCACTTTTGCACCTAAAATATCAAAGGAATGAAAAGGGGTATTAAATTTACAATATTCCTATGTTCAGCACATATATGTTTAGCAATATATGACAAACTTGTTATTTTCTGCCCAAAACTATAGAAACATTGATTTGTTTTATGACCTAATCTGTTAAGAATGATGGTCAGTTATTCCAGGTTGTTTTTTGTCAAATCTATTCGTCTCTAAATCATCACCCATATTTCATTCGATGTGGAACTTGGGTAAGTATAGGTGCAGTGTGGTCCACGAGGGGTTTTAACATGTAAGGCCGACAGGTTTGAGTTTTGAGCCGACAGGTTTGAAAATCGCCGACAGGTTTGGATTTCGGGCCGACAAGTTTGAAATATCAAAGCAAGAACGTACGCGTAGTCACATCGCGCGCTTGTAGCATACACTATTACAGTCTATGACACTGTTTTACTCTGTGCATGAGCTCCCCCTTATCGGCATGACGGGCAGTCGAGTCATACAGTGCGTCTACGTCTTCTGAGCTGCTTGCTCTGATTCATGCGCACACATGCCTGCGCACGCGCCTGTGTGCGTGCGTGCGCGCGTGCCTGTGTGTGCATGCGTGTGTGCCTGCAGACGTGTCTACGTAGACCGGTAGGACCAACGACCCGTAAGATTATAGAACGGTAATCCATGGAAAATCGTAAATTGAATTCACACGTTTATTTTTGCGTGCCGGCCGTGTGTCATTCCCGATTGTAGCTTTTTCCTCAATTCCAGGAGAGAGTTTTGCCGTCGCTCTCTCATAGTCAATCGGTGCCCACCCCCTACATTTCAGTAGTGATTAGCACCACGCGACTGAAACAATCGTGCCCCCCCCACCATGCTTCAATCAATGCCACCCCTGCCAGCAGGCACGTACGCAGCGTTGATGTGCACAGCCGCAGACGCGTGCCTCGCGGGCCGCTTTTTTCGGCGACCTTTGAAAATATAATATATATAATTGAGAATGTCGTGCAATAGCACCCTGGCTCAAAGGATGTTAGGAATATTGCACAACTAGAAATTTTTTAGTTGTCCAATCGGGCAACTAGCCAAATGAATAATTTGTCCGGCATAGACTTTCACTTGTCCTGAGCCTCATATCATAGGGCTTCGCAATCCGCCATGAATAAAAAACAGCTAACAATAACCAGCCTATTTCATCAGATTCCTTCTAACAAGGAGGAGACAACAAATGCTTGCACGTAGTAGCAGTAGCATCACTGACAATGAAGAAATAGAATACTCAACCTAAATTATTTTGAAATATAGGTCATAAATTTTGTGCAAAAATGCTCCAAAATAAGACATTGCACCAGAGAGCATCTAAAACCGCTGAGCTTCCAGGGCCCTTAAGCGGGCCCTGGACCCCGGCTGCAAGGGGCTTCGCAACCATTCACAATCATAATTTAACATAATATCTAGAGTACTCCTCTAAAGTTCCCAGTTTAACATGTTTGAATTTTAGGTTGTGGACCACCATGATAGGTGACTACATATAGAATGAATGAATCGGGGAAAACCAGGCTAGAAGGCCAAACCAGTCTCCTCATGGACATAGTTAATAGGACAGCACTGCTGGGGTGCAAGGGAGTTGAACAGCTATGTGGTTTTTAGGTTGTGTGTTTTCTCTGGCAGCATGTATTTACTGTCTGGCAGAAATACAATTTATAACCCTCCCATAGATAATGCAAAAAACACTAGGGAGGATTTGATACTATGAAAAGGCAGGCTACACATGAGAATACATGAAATATAATGGCTATCCCTGTAAAGGCCATTCACAATTATAAACATTGCAAACATACCAACCCTCTGTTGGACAGTGGGGTCACTGACACTATTGCCACACCAAAATCCCAAGACATAAAACATCCACAGAAAAAAAGTATACAGATCAAGTTTTTATATACACAAATATCTTACCTGTCAGAACAACCTTTCCTGACACAAAGATAAGTAGTACTATTCTGGGTTTAACCATTCGGTAGATCAGACCCGGGAAAAGTTCAGGCTCATAACTGAAATGACATTAGAAAACAATGTTAAGAAACCTGTTTATTATTATTCTCAGCAACAGTAATATTTAGAACCACACTACAAATACTGTGGCACCAATAAGGTAATGTAGTCTCACCTTGAGAATTGGCTATGTTTCAGGACGAGACCTTCTAATCGGATTGGAAACTTTACATCACAGCTGCCAACCATGTTCTGAATCTTAAATTCTAGGAACTTTGCCTGTAAATAGAAGAGGAAATTTAACCTGGAATAAAATACTTACTGCTTGACTAACTGACACATCAACAGCCACTCTCATTGATTCTGATGGATTGTAATAAAATACTTATCCCAGTCATATCCTACCCACAATATTTGTGCAATTTTTCTATTATCTCATTGGATTGCAGCAGCAAGTACAAACCAAGCAATTCTAACAGCAGCCCATACATATTGTGTAACAAGATAACTGATACTTACTGGAAAACCAAGTTTTTGAACGACCCTTGCATACTTTCTGGCTGCTAATCTTGACTCCTCTTCACTAAAATGAAGTTACAACAGATATATTATTCAATTGTATATACAGCTCATCATAATGTATATGATGATATATGTAAGCACATATTTTACAAATAGAACAATATAGTTATAATAGAATGGTAAATTAATTTTAACCACTGACAATCCACTGGAGATATGAGCATTGACTATATTGTTATGTAGGAATATAACAAACTCATTTATTTTAGGGAGCTCTAAATAATATCATTAGATATAGCAACCATATGCAGTAAAAATTAGGACGAATTCATTCATAATCAGTTCAAAATTTAATTTGTTGAATTTAAAAATGACTCTAACTTCCATAATATGCACCTCTTTGCTCCTGTGCAAACCATTTTCCCTGAGCTGAATATCAGAGCTGTGGTCCTGGGATTTCTGATTCTCATAATGACAGCAGCAAAGCGCTTTGGGTTGTACTCAGCATTTCTTGCATGCAGAGCTATTTTCTTTAGGTCCAGTTTGCAGCCAAGATTAATTGTTGAGACAATGTTCCTGTAAGTCAGGACATCGACACACATTTAAATAGCAGTTGGTGGTATCTTGCTCCATGGTGTATGGCATATTTCATGCAAAATTGTAACTGTATATAATATAAAACGCAAATTATCTCATATTCACAAACTAGAAATGGCAGTTGTAGCCAACTACATGTACCCCCCGCGATCTAGTATGAATAAAATATCTCCTCCGTAAGGACGTACAAGGTAGGTAAAGTGAAATAAGTCACAAAGACAAAGGTTTGTTACACATCTCATCTGCCTCAGATGTGCAAGTATGTCAAATTTGGTTACCCTAGGGGGCTGGGGGGGAGGTCAAATAAAGGTTGCAGTGACCTGGTTTTGGTACGTGACACACCTTCTCCCCAATATGTGTAAGGATACCAAGTTTGCTCGCACTAGGTCAATTAGGGGGCGAGTTATAGAGCAGAAGGGAAATATGATCAAGGTCAAGGGCAAGGTCAAATAAAGGTAGCAGTGACCTGGTTTTGGTACGTGATACACCTTCTCCCCAAGATGTGTAAGGATTCCTGGTCGCGCTAGGTCAATTAGGGGCCGAGTTATAGAGCGGAAGGGAAATATGATAAGGTCAAGGTCAAGGTCAAATAAAGGTTGCAGTAACCTGGTTTTGGTACGCCACACACCTTCTCCCGAAGATGTGTAAGTATACCAAGTTTGGTCACGCTAGGTTAATTTAGGGTCGAGTTATAGAGCGGAAGGGAAAGTGTCTGTGGCGGCGGCTGGACAGACATGAAACCATAGTATCCCCGCCGACTTCTTCACGGGGGATACAATTAAACCACTATAAATCCAGTATTGTTATGACTGAATATTATCATAGTAAGCCATACAACTAAACACAAATACACACAGACACTTGTAGCTACAAAGATATCCAATGAAACTAGAAAGGTTATGCTTTATATATTACACTTACTGCAGCTGTGGAACGATACCAGAGCTTTCCTGAGAGATAGGTGTGAAAGGTGTCATTGGTGTCATGGGTGGTCCAGGAGTTGGTGGGTACATGTTAGACATAACACTAGATGGCGCTGGTGGGAATGCCACTGTTGCCGGTGACATTATCTAAAAAAACATACATTCAAAAATGAAATGCACTGACCCTACAATCCTAGAACATACAAAGCACAGAAACTTCTGTTGGTATCACTCAATAATGTTCCTACCAAAGTTAACCACTCAAGGACTGTGCAATAGCAGAATATAGGCTCATGTTACGATTGTGTCACAAAGTGGCTACACATTCGGATAATTTTTGTGATTTTGTGCCTATGCTATATAATGCACAGTGTACAAAAACTATACGTTATCAAAAAGGGTTAGAATTAGGTTACAGTTAGCTGTTAGGGCAAGAATCACATGCAGGGTTTCTTATACATAAGAGGCACAGTGGCGCACCGTTTAACATCGCCGTTGTGAAAATGTTTCTGTATTTACTGATAAGTCTATCCTGTATCTATATACCTATAATATAAGTATATCAATACATCCTGTATTTGAATCCATCATGTGCGTTTTTTTCCCAAACTGGCCATTACCTCCTTTGTCTAATTTTCCCTCAGAAGAAACCCTGACATGAATTTGAAATTCTGCCATATATTATATATAAGTTTACACTAGATGAAAAAATCTGACTGTATAGATTACACCAATGGTAAATAAAATTATCCTATCTTTCAACTGCATGTATCATTGTATGTATAGTAATACCATACATGAAATAAAGAATCTGTTCGAGAAAAACACATTTGGCACATGAAATTCTGTGACATGAATCACATTTTTACACTAACTACCAGTATTGGAGATGAATTCCATGTTTACAGTCACGTTAGACAGTACGTGCATACAAGTTGTGTTCAACAATATATTATTGCCTAGCTCTACCGGTGTAGCCTCTTCGCTCCCGCTACAGGGCTATAATACAACCTATGACGAGAATTGGAGAAGAATGTTAACAGTGTGGCTGGCAACGCTGTACAGTTTGCAGCACAAGGAAAAATCACCCTAGCCCGCAACATAAACTTATAATCTTTAGACGGCCAGCTACAAATTCAGATTTAAATCGCCATAACGTGACCAAATTGGCCCCTTTATGTAAAGTAAACGATCGCACGACCAAACTACGCATCCATATTTGAATTAAACGATCGTGGGCCTCTTGCATTTTTCCAGAGAAGGGTGGACGGTCTTCCACCACCACCACATGGGTTACTGTTGATACATATTCGTTACAGTGTCAGTAATACATTTGGCAAGTAATTGAACACAATAAGTGATTTAATTCACTGCCCCCAAGACACCATCCACCCCTCCCTGGAAAATGGGAGCACCAACATGGATGTGTGCTTTGCTTGGCTGATCGTTTCTATTCCATAAAGGGGCCAATATGCCATTATGGTCATGTTATAATTATTTAAATGTGAATTTCTAGCTGGCCGGCTAAAGAATATAAGTTTATGTTGCAGGGTAGGGTGATTTTTTATTGTGCTAAGGACGACCCAATCATAGCAACCTGTTTAGCACCCCGGATTAGTTTAGCACATATGCGAAAACACATTTACGGGGTCCCAAACTATGATTGTGCCAATAATATGCCCAGCCATGCTGTAAACATTCTTCTTGGATTCCTGCCATAGGTTGTAGCACAGCCCTGTAGTGGGAGCAAAGCCAAAGGGGCTACACAAGTAAAACTGATAATTGCCCAGCTAGGTGCACTGGGTTGTCGGCCGGATGCACGAGTATTACTGCCTATACATGTATGAGTGACAACATTTACAAAGCCCTTAAAAATCTCAGTTGGGAATGTATCCAGTATGGATTGCCAAACTTTGCGTCGTCCTTATTTGATGTCACCCTTTTTAAAACCTCAAACTCTTACGAATCGTGAATCGAAATCATCAGACCATGACATCTAGGCTTTAGTTGTCCACAAGCAACATCTTCACCGACTAAATTGATCAATAACAACACAAGATCATTCAGACATGTCTCATCAAGCACTATGCCAGACTATAATTTACATGCGTCAACAGTTGATATTAAACATACTACACCACCCTAGTTTCACAGTCACAGAACAGCAAGTTGTACAAAAGAGTCACCATCAGAGAGATGATATACCACTAAAACTCATAGTCATTAACTGCCAATCAGTAGTTGACAAGATACCCTTGTTAGAAAACATGGCAGAAGCCACAAGTGCAGATATCATTATATATGCACAGAATCATGACTAAAAGCCAACCACCTGTCCACGAAAATCTTCCCAGCCAATTGTAAAATATTCCGGAAAGATTGGCAAAATCGACACGGAGGTGGAGTCTTTATATTAGTAACTAACAAATATGAATGCTCTGAACCGTAAGAACTCAAAGTGAAAGACAATTGCGAGTTATTATGGATACAACTTAAGATGGCAGGATCAAAATACCTGTATGTAGGTTCCCTCTACCGACCATCAGATGCAGGTGATACTGAATATCTCACTACTCTTCAGACTAGTCTGCCACCGATACCCCAAGATGCACATATTTGGTTAGGAGGGTACTTTAATCTGGGAGACATTAATTGCCCAGGGTGATGAAAGTGTAAAACCATATAAGGTAACCATATTTGTTCTAAGAAGAAATCATTGGCGATATTAAGTAGCTGATGTGATGAGCCTGATTTGGTTGCATATATATGCAAACAAATCAGGCTCATCACATCAGCTACTTAATATCGCCAATGATTTCTTCTTAGAACAAGTCGTTACCGAACCTACTAGAATCACAGAAACAACCGAAAAAATACTGGACTTATTCTTCACCAACAATAAGTCCCTATTTAACAAATGTCAAGTGATACCGGGAATCTCAGACCATGAAACTGTATGTACATTGAATCTAGCCTCAGACCTATAAGAACCAAAACACCCCCAAGAGATGTATACTTATAAATATTAACTTATATAAAAAAGCAGACTATGATACTCTGAAACTTGAGTTTAAGAACATGCAAGACGAATTTATTGATATGGAGACAGCTAATGACCATATTGAGAATATCTGGGGAGTATTTAAATCAAAACTGATAGCACTTATGGAAAAGCATATATATATATATACCAACAAAAACAATAAGAGGAAACAAAAACAAGAAACCATGGATCTATCACAAAATCAAATCCTGCATAAAAAGAAGAAATAAACTCTATAACAGAACTAGAGCACTCGGAGAGCACAGACCTCCGCCAAGGCAGCTGAATTCTCTCAATGTGAAATTTTTTATTAATTAATTAATTAAGTGGAAAAATGAATGAATGAATTAATTAATTAAATAATTAATTGGATCCGGATTAGTGCGAGCGTGCAGGTGGGAGAGAACTGTGGTTGCCCCTTAGCCTGTGTTTGTAAGTCTACAGCCAGCGCACCTAGCGGAAGTGAACTGAAACGTGCATGGTAACACACACACACACAAACCAACACTCAATGGCACGCCAGTGAAAACATAACCTCCGCCACGCCTCTGGCGGAGGTAATAACAGAATGAAAAAGTCCAAGGAAGCATCAGATATCCGAAAGTACAAAGAGAGTAAAAAAGCGGTACAAAAAGCAGAAAGAAACTCCTACTGGAAGTATTTCAATAATATTATTGAGGTGAGAGACCCAGAGCACCACCTACCAAACAGAAACGCTTCTGGAACTATATCAAGTCATTTAGGAAAGACAGTACAGGTATTACCGTATTACACCACTTAAGGATAATGGCATGCTATTTAACAAAGCCAAAGATAAAAAAACATCTTGAACAGACAATAAGAATCTGTATTCACCAAAGAGGATGCTTGTAATATACCAAAACCAACTGTAAAAGAATATCCATCCATGCCTAACATATCGGTGACGACAGAAGCGGTAACAAAGCTCCTCATAAAATGCAACCCAAACGAGGCTTCCGGTCCAGATAAGATTCCTGCTAGAATCCTGAGAGAATGTGCTGTATAGAGCTAGCACCTTTGTTATATATGCATTGTATACAATGCCAGCCTCAGATGTGGAATGGCACCAAATGACTGGAAGCAAGCCAATGTCACTGTGCTATTAAAAAGGGAGACTGATATGATGCAAGCAACTACAGACTGGTGTCACTGACATGTCCATGCTGTAAATTCTTGGAACACATCATCAGGGTGCGAAATTAACGGGAGTCCAGAGTCAAATACTCCCTGATTTACTGTCGGACTCCCTGATTTGACGCGGGGCGGGGGGAGGGGGTGTGGGAGGGGGAAGGGAGCTCTAATAGCAAAAGCAGTTCACTCCTTTGTTAACAGTCAACAAATCCATGTTTAACCCTCCTCTTGAGGGTCAAAAGGTTATCAGACACTTACTCTTCACAGAGAGAGAGCGCGCGAGAGAGAGGGATAGAGAGGGAGAGAGACAGATACCCCGTACAGACTGCAGAATTTGATATTATATCAAACTGGCGCGCACCAGTCTAATACCATATCAAATTTGTAATCTGTACGGGGTAGGAGAGACAGACAGACAGAGATAGAGAGCGCGCGGGTGGAAAGGCGGGGTGGGAACATTATATACACATGTGTTACATTGACGACAAGACGTATTTATAGCGCTACGTCTATCAATGCCACCCACTCATCTTGTGTGTCGGAAGATGACAAGAGCTCCCGCACGTTTCACCCGCGACTATCTCTTGACTTTATCCCTTTATCTCTCCGGCTCGCATGAACACGGCATTGATACGCATAAAGTTATCCATATAACAACATATAATACAAATAATATGGCTCTTGAATTGTACCTCGTATTGCGCATTAGAATCCAGAGAGACATGATACAAGATTGCGTGGCACAGCTTTGCTGTTGATCCTGAGCGCTGCGCGCGGATGAGACGCGCAGTTCCGCGGGATATGCGCACGCGACCGCGGGGATGTTCAAGTATGAAGCGCTATCCGCAGTGGAGACGTGCGCCAAATTCGAGGCCCGGCGCACGTCTCCACAGCGGTCAGCAGATGGTCTGTAGTTTTAGAAGATGACAATGATTATATGGACGATATTCTA